AGTTTAAAAAAACAACTCTAAAATCATAACAGTAAATAAAGACAGGGGAGCTCCAGACAGGAAACAATCAGGAACAGCTAATCTCTCAACAAAGGATGCCCCTAGGCAGTAAGAAGCCACTCTTTGAAAACTGCTAGGCCATTAAATGCTAATCAAGGTGACCAATTGAAGCATTCACACCTACCTCCAATAGACAAGAGTTCTTTCTCCCACCCTGGACATTCCACAGATATATAAACCCCATTTTCCTAGTTTCCAAGAGAACGCACAACCTCTGAGGATGCCTGCCATAGATGCAGGCGAAATGTCAGGAGAGAATGCTTCTGGAACATGGCCATACAGCCCGAAAAAACTTACAGCAACCCAGTGATTCCGGCTATGAAAGCCTTTGACAACACATTGATCCCACATTATCTGCTTTCAATTGGATTATATGAGTCTCTATTGCCAGAAAATCTGGGGTAGAAAGATTAACTGGGATCAGATCCTGGGATATAGGGGCTGTGTGGAAGGGGCCTAGAGGGACCAAGAATTTTGTTCCATAAAGACCCAGAGATATCTGCGCATGGTAGAAGTTGTGCCTTTAAACACATGTGCTTAAAATGTCTGCAATTATTTTGGAGAAATGAATGCATCTAGAACATGTTAATGTGCTATTATTTTAGAAAGTAGAAAGTGGCAAGGTAAAGGTCCCAAGACCAGCAAAAGGCATGTCACTCCATTAACACCCATAATGTCTCTGCACTATGCAGAGAGTATTGAAGGTATGAGATAGTACAAGATAATTTTAGATTTGCACACTCTTCCTCTTCCCTATGATGTCCTGCTCCGTATTGTAAGAGTCAAATTAGAAGTTGAATGGAATGCACACTTCCTGCGATTGACACATCAGACACTTCCTATGAGCTTCAGCGATAAGAACATGAAATCAAGTTTGCATTTATCTTCCAATTTTTTTCGTGTCAGGAGGGAGTTGAGAAATTGCAAGTCGCTTTTGGTGTGAAAAAATTGGCTGTCTGCAAGGATGTTGCCCAGGGGATGCCAGGATGTTTTACCAATCTGAGGGAGGTTTCTTTCATGTCCCCACATGAGAAGCTGGAGCTGTCGGATGGGAGCTCACCCTGCTCCTTGGATTCAAACCGCTGACTTTTCGGTCAGCAGTCCTGTCAGCACAAGGATTTAACCCATTGTGCTACCTTCCAATGACCACTCATAAAACATTTAAACTGCAAGACATACAGTTAAGGGCAATCACATGATGTGGCACATGGCTTTCACAACTTGGAGGAGAACTTGTCCTGCATAGAATCATAGAATCATAGAGTTGGAAGAGACCTCATGGGCCATCCAGTCCAACCCCCTGCCAAG